GAAAAACACAATTGTTTTTGCACAAAATGAATTTGAAAACACGATTAAGAGGCATCACTGTCGCCAGAATGAAAGGGGGGACAACTCATATCGAGTTATACTTATTATAAAACCCAGGTTGTTTGTTTGTTTGTTTGTGTGTGTGTGTGTGTGTGTGTTCATTTATATATGGGATCGGATTTCCTACATTTTTCAACCGATTTCAACAAAACTTCACTTTTTTTTTTGGCAGGTAGTGTTCAAAGAACTTCTTCCTCGTTTATTACCTCTGTTTACAGGAAGTCTACTTTTACAGGTCTATATACTCGATGGGGCTCTTTTTGTCCTAAACGACAAAAGATAAATTTGATTAGGACCCCGACACATAGGGCGTTAATGATTTGTTCGGGTGACACCTTGAAGGATGAAATCAGTTGTTTAACTGAGATCTTTGTGAACAATGGTTATCCGTTGAACATTGTTCAATCGGTTATTCGAGATGAGACTGCCAGGTTCAACAAAATCAAACCTGCTTCAGTGGGTAAATGTCCGGTCTATCTTCGTTTACCGTGGTTGGGTAGGATTAGTGAATCTTTCGCCAAGCGTATTTCATGTAGTTCACGTGAGTGTTATTTTGCAGCGAACGTTCGTGTTGTCTTTCAAACTAAGTCCGTACTTTCATCTATGTGTAAAGATGTTCTACCCCCCCACACACACAATATTAATTCTGTTATTCATAATCTTTCCATAATAAATACATACATCTTTTATACTTCGATATTTTTAAATAAATGTAAATTCTTGTACCTAATTAAATTGTCCAAAAACATCAAAAATTTTCTTTGAAGAACTTCAAAATAAACATGAAAAAAATATTCCAAAAATTTTAATAGAGACAAATATTTAAATATGTACTTTTATTATCGGCTTGTATTATAGAATTTATTTATAACCATCCATTTTTTAACACTACTGTAATTACTTAGATAAGGTAATACTTGAAAAAAAAATAGTTACCTATTTTCCACTTTTAAATTTTAGAAAATTTTTAATTATTCGGGAACTACAAAAAAAATCAATTTTCAATTACTATAGTTAAGAATGTTTTACTGCACTAATCGAGTATTATGTATGCACTAATTGAGTATTATGTATGCACTAATTTTGGTATAAAAACAGTAAGCTCACTAATCGAAAACGCATTAATCGAGGGATTCCTATATATATATATATATATATATATATATATATATATATATATATATATATATATATATATATATATATATACTTTTGATAAAACGAATCATGTCCTCTCAGTCACTGGCATGTCTATCTAAAAAATAAATACGCTTAAATTTACCCGCATTCCGCCGTGCGCCACCTGCTTAGGAGTAGATTCTCCGAATGACGCCAATCCGGCCGGGTTTCGATCCTAGCTAGAGGCAACCGAACGTCTAGCCCCACAGTCTGTCTGTGGATGATCATATATATATATATAAAAAGATTACTTAACTCTTAAATATCACCTTTTATCCCTACTTCGAAGTTTCTTAGTAAAATTCTTCAGGGGTTGTGGTTTTAGACGGTATTTAAAATTTTTATATATATATATATATATATATATATATATATATATATATATATATATATATATATATATATATATATATATATATATATATATATATATATATATATATATATATATATAAAAAGGCTCAAACACTAATATTCCATGGTTATAATATTATATTCTTACTCTCTCCGCAGATTGAGCTCTACCTGGATTGTATTCTCTTGGGAATTTATATATATACACCATTAATATATAGTTATGGTTTTGATGAGGTGTGGGAGGATGTCATGATAAGAGGTGCAACCCAGACTTGTAAGGCGATGGTGAGAGAGAATCGAGCGAGAGAAATTACGAAGTAGCAATGCTATGGTAGGACTAACCTAATTTGTAATAGCAAAGGAAGTAATCGATAGGGAATTAAAAATCATTAATCAGAAACACCAAATATCCCAGCCTCGACCCAGCTACGTGAGACTTCTCAGTAAAATCCCTTCATTGTTGGTCCTCAAGCAAGAAGCAACCGGTACAGTCGGAAGATCGGCAAATCTTTTCGATGTACTTGCTGATTTTCCAGCACCTTTTCCCCGTGAATCGAAGCGTCAACCAAAACTAAAGAGATGAAGAAATAACTTAATTTGAGAAAAATTCGGAAATCAGTCCTACCAGATAACTTCAAGCGGACACACACACATACACACACACACACACACACACACACACACATATATATATATATATATATATATATATATATATGTATGTATGTATATACATAAAAAGAAAGAACAGTAAGATATATAATCCGGTGTTCTTATAGATATTTTTATTTTTAAAAAATAGTGCTCAATGTAAATTTACAGAGAAAATTCGCTTGAGGATGAAATGGAACTAATGTCTTTAATTTAATTACAAAATTAAATTCGGGGCTTTTAGCTTCCATTTTTGAAACATGGTTAGAACTGTGTAGCGAAAAAAACATTTTAAATCAATTAATTTATAATATATATATATATATATATATATATGTATATATATATAATATATTATAATAATATTTTTTGTTTAAAAATATGATTCCTTCGCTACATAAGAGTTCTCATGTTTCAAAAACGAGAGCCGAAATATCCAAATAATTATTAAAATTAAGTTGGATTGTGGTGTTTAGTCCCGTTTCATCTTCAAGCGAAATTTTAGGAATAAGCTATTTGTCGGTTTACGTGTATTTTTAGGCCCGGTCATTTTGGAATTCGTTATTGTGGAAGTGGCTAAACTATTTTCCTTCGTTAAGTGGTCGGAGAGTTAATTCTTATAAAAAACGGTGCTTGATACAGAAGTAGAGCTTAAATTTATAATTAATTTTTAAAAAATATGATTCCATCGTGACACAGAAATTAATGTTTCGAAACTGACTCAAGTCATAAAGTTTAATTTCAATAATAAACTTAAAATTTGGAGCACAGTTTCATTCTGTGTTGCGATGTAACCATATTTTTTAAAAACGTAATTATAATATATATATATATATATATATATATATATATATATAATTTTTTCAAATAATGGCTAACCGTTTTGTTACTAAGGTGGTTAACCAACCCCTGTTGTAGACGCCCCCTCAAGCACATTTTTGTGTTTGTTCAACACCACAGACCCCCACTTGTGGTTTATACAGCAACTATGCTAAGCGGACCTTAGTTACAGTTTCTGTGGGAGAGCGCATTATCTGGCATGATCAGTAGTTCGAACGTGGCCAGTGCACCCTCACTCACGATGACTTGTGACTTTGTGCTAACACAACCATTCGACGACTAATTTAATTCCGTCTACCGAATTTCACTCACAAGGTTTGGGTCAACACGTAATAGGGTTTCTCGGGTGAGGCATTTTTCCAAATGTGCCACACGCTCGGGTCACCTCCCCCAGGACGGTAACATGAAGAAATCACCTTGCTGATAAATCACCCATGGTGATATTTGTACGTTTGGAAAGCGATCATTTTAACCACCTAGCCAAAATAAAAAAATAATAAAAAAAAGTAATCAGATTTTAGAAACTGAAACTCATAATTTATATTTCTCATGTAAATTTAATCATATCCTTCGATATTTTACAAGCATGTCTTGGTTATAACCATTTTTATTCTAAAACCATTTACTTGCATAATAACATCTGACATAATGTAGTACACTAAATAGAAATGGCGCTTTTGTGACGTCAACGAACACTAATGCACGTTGTAGTAGAGACTTTGTAATAGCAGATACAATTATAATAAAGCCGTTGAACAATGCTGGTGTCAGACGCCCTCGACTAACACTCGGACTAATAGTACTTGCTCGATAATACCAATTCGAAAGTAACCAACAAATAGTGATTCGAATAGTAATCCGTAGAGCGATCAGTACAGAGAAGAGTATAGAGAAGAGAAATAGTGATCCGAATAGTAATAGAGGATAGAATAGAAATGGCGATCCGAACAGTAATAGAGGATAGAATAGAAATGGTGATCCGAATAGTAATAGAGGATAGAATAGAAACGGAGATTCGTATAGTATAGAGGATAAAATGGAAATGGTGATCCGAACAGTAATAGAGGATAGAATAGAAATGGCGACCCGAACAGTACGAACAGTAATAGAGGATAGAATAGAAATGGTGATCCGAATAGTAATAGAGGATAGAATAGAAATGGAGATTCGTATAGTATAGAGGATAAAATGGAAATGGTGATCCGAACAGTAATAGAGGATAGAATAGAAATGGCGATCCGAACATTAATAGAGGATAGAATAGAAATGGTGATCCGAATAGTAATAGAGGATAAGATAGAAATGGCGATCAGAATAGCAATAGAGGGTAGAATAGAAATGGTGATCCGAACAGTAATATAGGATAGAACAGAAAATAGTGAGAGACGCCACGCTAATTACCAAAATAAACGTTTCCTCTATGGTCACGTGAGCTACTTATTAGAAATGGACTCACCTGTGTTTGCTCACTAGTGATGCTGTGTTCAAACTCCAGTGTTGGCAGCGTCACTTTATTCCTACATAACAGGCGGTAAATGGTTTATTTTCGAATAGTCATCAACCAAAATGGATTACCAATTACTGCAAATCTTTATAGATGAAGACAAACTAATCAAAATGGGAGAACTATCGATTTCCTGATTCGTTTTTTACGGCTTATCAACACTTTGCAGGCCATTTAAAACCAGAGAATATTTTTATATTGTAAGAATTTTTTGTATGTGAGTAGCGGGTTGGGTAAGATAATAATGACTTAGTGATACAGAACTTAGAAATTAACCCATCGCTTGAAAAAAGGAGAGGTGGCATCATACCTTTCCCATGTGAATATATCAAACCCAACAGGAACTGGATTTCGACTTTCCGATTAACAATTCCGAGCCATTATCCATTACACCGCCCGTACATCCAGGCTTACAGCACCTGGTGTTCCCTAGCGGTGACCCATCTAGATACTGACCAGTCTCGGCGCTGCTTAACTTCAGCGATCGTACAGGAACCGGTTTTTTTAACGTGATGTGGTCGGAAGTTCGGTTGAAATAGTAAGTAGTTTCCTATATAATAGTTCAAGTGTAGTTGTATATATTTTGGTTTTTATTGTCTGTAAACTTCAATGACGTCAGTTCAAGGGAAATTGTAACTCCCTTGCACTAAAAGCGTCTTCACATATCATGAGCTGATTCCTCTTTTTTTTTTTCTCAGTCGTTTAGTTGGATAAATCAAGATGTAAAAGTCGGGAAAACCATAAAATGCCAATGATTCCATGCTTTGTTAACCTAACATACGCCCACAAGTCATTTCACCTGCAACCACGCGCTTTAAAAAGCCAGCCAGCAATTACCAAAAACAAATGGTAGAAACAAAAGAGACCAATATCGATTACTGAAATGTTCGTTACCCAATTCGTCGTAAACATATCCCAGTTACGAACAGACATCACTCTTCGGTATGGTGAATCACACAGTTATAGGACAAGTAAACGGTGCCTTTTATTTTACGAACACTCCGACGCACACCAAATACGCAGTTCAATAAAACGTCACCTGAACAGTAAATAATGGTTGTAATTTTCGCTAGTTTCCCGCCAACGCGTTTCGTCCTCGCCGGTAATTATTCTGACATGCGTGTTCCGTGTCAGCAGAATTCTAGAATATTGATTCTCGGACCAACGCTAGGAAATAAGAACTTGACTCCATCCCTAGACATAGGCAGTAAAATGATTCTATCCACGTAGATTAAATAAAGGGTCCAGTTCAGAATTTCCCTGTATCTTATCCAGTTCGATATACAGCTGATGTAGTCTGGATGGCACATTGGGGAGTTTGGGGAAGTATCTAAACGGGAGCGTGTTCCACAAAGCACTGGTCCTTGGGAAAAGTTCTTTGAGTGGAATATATAAGGAATGCGGGGGATTGATACTTAGTATGGTGGAACTAAAGAATGGAGCTCGTCCGATCATTTGCTCTGGAAATAGCGATAGAGTAGCGCCATGTTTGCAACGTTGCGATTTGTGAGAGAGAGGCTGATGGGAAACAAACATGTCATGCCCCAAGATTGCATAATAGACTTTAAATTCTATCAATGCTGGAAATTATGCATTTGGAAACCCCAACAATAATCTATTTTATATCTAATCTGACTCTTGTAAATACAAAGCATAGTAGAAGTCAAGTACTTCCTGGAGCGGTACAGTGAGCCGGCTATTTTCCCAACATCTTTAGCAGCGGATCGTATATATGTTCCACTTTAAAAAAAAATCATTTCACCCTATGCAAAGCAGTAAAGCAACTAAGACACGAGGAGTTACTGGGTGTAGAAGAATAAGAAAAAAAGGGAAACACTGCTATGGAGCGAGATCAGTAAAAGAATAATCAGGAAGACAGTAGATATCGATTGAGATTGCATTTAAATTTTTGAAGATCAAAGTTGTCTGGAAAGCATGGAACCGGAAGAGAGTTCCACAAGCGAAATGTTCAAGAAGAAACTGTTAGCATAGAACTTACGGTTTCATCTATCCAATTCAACTTTATATTGATTAAACCTTGTTACTAATCTAGTACTGCGCTTAAATTCACCAATTTTAGGCACCATAACGAAAGGCTCCTCCGAATAATTACCATGAAACTATTTATTGAAAAGGCACCGCGAAACAATTTTTTGGCGGTGCAAAATTGACTGAAACCAAAAGGCCAGATATTGCTGAAATATTTGGATTTTATCAACAATCTCTAAATACGTAACAGGAGCACCGGACAAAATACGACAGCAATATTCAAAGCATGGACGAATAATAGACATATGTAAGATAGATTCTGGAGATAAAAAATGTCTATCACGACACAATGAACCAACTTTATAAGCAACAAACCTAGCAATGGATTCAATATAATCTTTCTACTTCATATCAGCCGAGAATGTTACCCCGAGAAAACGCAACGAGTCAATCTGCTGGAGGTTAGTATTAGCCATACCTATTGTAAGACAGAAAGGGGTCTCTCAGATGATTAATGAAGAGCAGTTTTGTTTTGGAGGCGTTAAAATTAACAAGCCATTCTTTGCCCCAGTTAGTAACAGACTGTAAGTCATTTTTTAGATCAGCTGCCAATTTGCCTTATCGATAGGATAATCCGGCCTTGGGCATCATCTTTATTTAAATGCTTAAATAAAGACTGCTTCTAAGATAGCTGGTTCCCTTTTTCCTGTTAGATATTTTTCTCATCCGAATCTGTCTTGCATCCTAATAAGTCTATCATTCCCTGTGCATGGATTGTTGTTGCCACATCTTGTATGCTGTTAGAGAATGTTTTCACGGCAATTGTTCTGATAATCTTTCTTTTTTGGTGCTTCGATTTCTTGAATTTAAGCGTAGTACTAGATTGGCCATTAGGTCTTATCATTTACCATTAAAATTGCTAAATACAACCGAAAGTTCTATTCTAATAGTTTCTTTTCTTGCACTTCTTGCCTGTGGAATTGCCTTACATCTTCTTGCTTACTCGTCAACTACAACCTACAAAGATTTAAATCAGCTAATATCCCTCAATCGTCATTTTCCGTTGTTATTTTTGTTGTTGTTTTTCTCCTCACTAACATTTTCTCATTCTCTGTTCACTCTCAATAACCACTTGCATCTCAGTGGCTTTATCGCCTTGCTGAAAGTGAAATTATTTTTTTTAATTAATTAAATAGAAAAAAAATTATATGATGACGAAAATATTGTTAAACCACTGCTCCTAGATTTATGACCGGGGACATTTTGTGTTATTCTGTTCCCGTGCGTATATAAAATCGCGCCCTTTAAGACAAGTGGATGGCAACAGCAGGAAACCATTAGTAGCAAAGCGACATAGTAACATACAAATTTACAGATTGAAGTGGTTATTGCATCTCTGATCTGACAGCTCTTGATATTATGAGTGACTCCGGATGGACAACAGTTTTTTTTTTTTTTTTGTAGACATAAAAAATGCACAAAATGGATGTATGAAACGCGTTTGTAGTTTTTTTTTCGTGTCTTCCTCTAGCATTTATTTCTTTTTGCAACGGATCGTATACATGATATATAATTTTCTAGACTTAACTAATTCAACAGCTTTGCATAAAAGGACAGCGAAAAAAGGTTGGAACGAATCTTTTCTAATGTAATAGTGAGGAGCGTAAGTCGATTACATCTGCAAACTAGATCCCCACAATGTTCTTGACCTGGGTATGACGATAAACTACATCCGGCAACAAAGGCCTCTGATCGGGAGGTTCTATAAACGCATTTCCTCTATGGTCACGTGATCTACTTATTAGAAATGGAATCACCTGTGTTTACTCACTGGTGATTTTGTGTTCAAACTCCAGTGTCGGCAGCGTCACTTTATTCCTACATAACAGGCGGTAAATGGTTTATTTTCGAATAGTCATCAGCAAAAATGGATTACCAATTACTGCAAAGCTCTATAGATGAAGACAAACTAATCAAAATGGGAGAACTATCGATTTCCTGATTCGTTTTTTACGGCTTATCAACACTTTGCAGGCCATTTAAAACCAAAGAATATTTTTAGATTGTAAGATTTTTTTTGCTGTGGGGTGGTAATAATGATTTAGTGATACAAAACTTAGTAATTAAACCATCGCTTGGAAGAAGAAGAGCTGGTATCATACATTTCCCATATGAATATATCAAACCCAACAGGAATTGGATTTCAAATGTTTTAAAAAGAATTTTGAATTTTTTGTGTAGAAACGTGCCAATTTTTGTAAGTAGGGAAAAGCATACCCAATATTATCAATAAGAACGATACGCATAGTAAATCAACATATCTAAAATTCAATAAAACATTGGATTACTGAGAATATTTTCATAAATATTTAAGATTACTGAGTACTTAAAAATTATATAAAAAAGCCACTCTCGTTATTTTCTTCAAATATATTTTACAGATAAAATCTCCGTAGAACAACATTATACCTGTCATCTGGCTGACAACTGTCGGGTTAAAAACACAGCTTCTCTCGGGTTAAAATTTACAGATAAAATCTCCGTAGAACAACATTATACCTGTCAGCACACCGACAACTGTCGGGTTAAAAACACAGCTACACTCGGGTTAAAATTTTTGTGCTATTTTAAACTTAAAAGTATATAATATTTGCTTCAAATTAGATTAATTATAGATTAAATCAGCTAATATCCCTCAAATAAAGTTTCAGAAAAGTATATTTTATTTTTGAAAAAAAGGTCGTTAATCAGCTATTTTAGAAAAAAATCCTTCCAGTCAACTAGTTTTTTAAATATAGTAAAGTATTTTGCTCATTGGATATATTAAATTTAATGTATTAGCTTGAAATTAAAACTAAAATAAAAGCTTTCAAGAAAGGTTTTCCATTTTTAAAAATACATTTTAAATCTTGGGTATCGTTCGTTTTCTTTCTTTTTTTTTTTTTTTTGGTGCCTAATATATAATCTATGACAATGATTTTTCCATCCAGACGTCATTACCTTTCTTTCGATCAGACCTTTCACAATATTTCATCGCTTGTCTCCTGTTGTCTCTCATTCACAGTGTCTGCCGAAAACACATCGAAGAAATATGAATGCCCACCTCTTTTGCTATATTGTCGTTAAACGCTTCAGTTTCCGAATGTGGGCGAACGTACTTGTAGAGTAGCATTGTTCATATTTAGAGATATTACGTCATTCGGAAATCCTACACGTTCCTCGTTAGCAACTTATTTAGCGAAGAGGCCGTAAAGAAAAAAAAAAAAAAAAACCAGGAAGTGTATACATCAGCCAATGGAGATGTATCAGAAATATTGTAAGTGTTTAAAACGTAGCTGATTTCGATAATAGGTGTTGATTGAGGAAGCTCCAAGTTCGTTTACGTTTTCTTGGAATAGCCGAACAAAAGCGGAAGTGAGTGAATGCTGGGTAACGTAACGATGCAGTCAGTGATCTTAAATCAAATTTATAACAATTTTGTTGTTTTGTCTTTCATAGAGTTTCTTTAATGTTGAAGTAGAATAAGACAAGACG